CACTGATTAGGCCAAAAAATGCCAAAATTAATTTTTTTTTTTTTCAGGAAAACACTTAAACTTATAAAATACTTTAGAAAATAGATTTATGGTGCCTCGTGGCCTGTTTGCATACGGGTGCTTTTAGATCAACAAGACTGCAAACTACCAGTTTAAGTTTCAGAAGTAAAGAAGTATTCCACTTAGTCTAAAAATGTATAAAGGGTAGAGCAACTGTCTTGCTTCAGGGAGGAGACTATTCTTTGTTAATATCCTGTTCAGATTAAGGCAGGGAGCAAGCTGCCATTAGTGACAAGAAAGGACAATTGATGGTGGTGGTGGTCTTTACTTGTCTCTGTCTATACTTTCCATGCTAAGCCCTCTATCGTAAGTCAGTTGAGAAAACTTTATGCTTTCTTATTCCCCACAATGAAGAAAACTGACTCAGGAGGGCAAGGACACTGGCCAGGAGATAGTTTCTTGCTTCTCAGAGCTGCCCAGTGGGCAAATGTTACGAGAAGGGATTCACAGGGAAAACAAAGAGCAAGTTCTCCTTACTCTTCATCAGAAGCCTCTCTGCCGCAGTCTTGGTTGATTCCCTAAATCTATAGTGTCCTCCATGTTCATGACTATTCTCTCCATGTGCACAGGCCAGGTGGCAAGGTAGGCTTCCATTACTTCATACTTTAGGCCCTACTTAGGGAGTTAAAAGGTCTGAAAAGCTCCTGCTGGAAACTGGAACAGAGTTACTTTGGATTCATTAATTTTTCTTTTTTATTTTCTGCAAAGTAAACATTTTCTAAATGAAGTAAGTGGATTACCATGCTCTTAGCACCTGTCACTTATGTTTAGTGAACCCAAGGATTGCACCTGAGCAGTAGCTGTGAGGGGCTGTGTAGACATCTAAATCATGTGTGTATATATTTTTGTATTCTTCAGTGGAGTCAACCAGCCCCAGTCTGCTAACCACTGACAACACCCTTGAACGTTCCTTTTTCATCCGAATGAAATCTACTCTGACCAAACGTGGCGTGCACATCAAATCATCAGGATATAAGGTAAGCTGGGCTTGGGCAAGGGAAATATTTCTGTCTCAGGTCAATCCTAGGTCACTTGCATGGAGTTTCCCAGCTGCTTTGGGACCACATAATTAACGCCTATGATCTTGAGCAGCCCGTAGGATTCTTAGTGGTTTTCCCGTCTCAAGGTAGGGGCTTCATTACATGACTCGTTCTCACTTCAGACATTGCCGAGGCACTAAATGCCTCAATATGGTGTCTTTTCCTGAAACACTTGTTAATAATGCACCAGGGTCTTCAGCACTCGCTAGAAATTCACTTTGATGGAGAAAGTGAACCAAATTCATAGCAGTCCTTAAGGTGAGTGTTCTAGAATGACTAGAGGAATTCCACTTCTCTCTTCAAATTCCCCCTTTCTCTTTCGGTAAAGACTATCCATTTTAATAATATCTTGGCCGCCCAGACTCATACGTGTGAAAAAAGAAAATCAGGTTAGGCATCAGGACTCTTCATTGTAATTACACTTACTCCACATCGGTCATACCTTGGCAGACACAGGACGCTCAACATACAGAGTACATGTTCCCCACAACAGCAAGGACCAAGTCTGGAGTCATAATCTACATTATCGTCCTTTTAAGGGTAAGAATATAAAGCCTCCTAATCTTGGGAAATTCCAACACTTGAGTTACCATAGCAACATAAATTAAGACCTATGAAATTTATGACACGCCTTTGGCAACCTGAATCTTATCAATTTTACAATACACCAACCCGTCTCTCAAACAACATTTACCATATATGGGAGGACCAACAGCAACAGAATGGACTGTAGATGTGGCCGGCATGACCTTTTCCAATTTAGGGTTGAGAGTTTCTGACAACTCGGTTCTTTAGGGTGACCGTAGCATTGTCAGAGATGGTAATAGTCATTAAGTTGTTGGGCTTAAAAACCGTATACAAGTCACCAGAAACCAGCAGCTGTGTGAAAGTCAGAACCAGGTACTCTTTCTGACATGAATTCTTCAGAGACAAAGAGGAAGGAGGTGGGGAAGCAGGCGTTTCCATGAACGACCTTTAGCTGAGCTGGCCTACCGTCGGAAAGGCACAGGTGGAACGTACCCTTAACCTTTAACAGGGTTCGAAGCGAAGGAGAGGCTCAGGGCGGCTCTGCCTACAGGCGCTTTACCCTTCAGAGGCCCGTTACAAAGGGATACCGTGGAGGGAAAAATCCAAACTCTATCCTCGGGACTATTTTTATTTTTCCTGCCTTACTGAACACAATACATTTATTCGTTATTAAAGCATTAGCAAGTTTGAAATTTCTACAAGCAAACTACAGGTGTAGCGCTTAGTGTCATTTTAATGCTAGAAAGATCCATTCTAGTTTTAGGAGTTGTAAGGCTTCCTTTCACCTGTTTTCTGTCTTTCAGCTTTTAGTTTGTCACTTTTAGTGGTTTTTACTGGTTTTTAGGGGGCATGTCCCAGGAAAGAGGAAGGGTAGGACAGGCAAAGTGTAGTTAGAAAACGTAATATGGAGTATATTTCAGTATCATTAGAAAATTTAATTTTTTGAATGATAAAAAATGACTGCTTTCACGTGACCAACTAGAGATCATAAAGCCTTGCAAAATTTGGAATCTACAAAAAAGTGGGCTGTGCAAGTGGAGAAATGCTTTGTATTTCAGTCCAGGCAAGAGACCAGGTAGCTTGCATTCTTTTTGTTTTGCCATATGGTCAGCTCAGTAAAGCGGTTTTTGCTGCATGACCTGAAATTGGACAGGCTCATTTCCTAAATATTAATAGATCATTCAACAAATTTTTATTGAGTTACCAGTCTGGAGCCTGTTCTAGATCCCGTAATCCAGCATTAAACAGTAAAAAGTCCCTGCTTTCATGGTACTTAGATTCTAACAGCGGGAGACAGACAAGAACAACAAATAATGAAGGTGATTTCAGACAGCAAAAAAGTCCAAACGAACAGTAACTACTACTTATGCATATTACAATATGCTCGGCATGATGCAGTGTCTATGCAACTCACAACTATCCTAGAAGAAGGTACTTTTATTGCTCCCACTCTACAAGTAAAGAAAATAAGGCTAGAGGTTAATCAGCATACCCAACTTCACACAGCAGAGGGACAGGGCTGGGCTTTGAACTCTGTGAGTCTGGCTCCACGCCCTATGCACTGAACCACTAGGCTAACTATTTTGCTGAGAGTAAAGCAAAGGTGGTGAGTGTGGCTGGTGGGGACCACTTTGGATACGAGAGTCGCGGAACATCCAGCTGAGGAGGTGACTGTCACCTATGAGTGGTAAGTGAGAGCAGGACCACTATGGAAACAGAACAACAGTGTTTCCAAAGCTCCTGGGGTTTAGGATTAAAGACACCTTGCTGTAAGAAGGCACCTTCAAGAAACAAAATATGAAAAGGGACAACCATGAACATCCAGGACTAGAAAAGAGAAGTTATTCTGGCTTCCATCAAACCCTGTAGTGTTAAAGTGATCACACTCCTCTGACATACCCTATCAGTCCGTCTTTCTCAAGACTTCATGAAAGTCTCCATCTAGTACTGTACCCCCTGCCCAGGAGTGCTAATGTGAGAGTTGATTCATCCCGTCTTCCCCCAATAGGACGAACCGTTCAACAGATCCAGCCCTACCCCTCCTCCTCCACGATGCCCTTGCCTCATTAATTAACCTTGTCTGCAAGTTAGCAGAAGAGCTGATGAGAAGCCATGACATGACACACAGCTGAATAACATCCCTATTTATCTGTTCATTCTCAGTAAATAAATCTAACAGCTTATAAAACATTCAAATAAAACTGGTAATCACCCCAGCACCACACAATAAGCACAAATAAAAAGAAGCAGTGATGATAATTTCACCATACTCCCAATATTCCTCTTAATTTATTACCATTGTTTGCTCCTTTCTTTTCTCATAAAGCTCCAAGATGTTAAGCCATGGCTAGTGCAGGTCATTATACTTCTCTCCAGTTTTCCTGTGACCTTGGCACATGCAACTTTTCTGCCTTGGTCCATCATCTTACGTGCCACGCTTTCTTTAGTGTTGTTATTATTACTGGCAGTAATAATAGCAGCAAAGATAACACTTGTTAAACATGGACTCTGCCACGAGTACTTTGCCAAACACCTCGTATCTTATCCAATCCGTACAGCATTTAAAACCTTCCTCTGTGCCAGGCGTTGTTCAAACTTCACATTCTATCATTATGCCCATTGTGCAGGTGGTGAAACTAAGGCTTTAATAGGCTCAGTATTGGCCCATGTTGGCATAGATCTTAAGTAGTTACTGAGGAGCCAGGATTGGCCAGGCAGTGAGGCTCCAGAGCCTGCCCTCTCCACCCTCGGTGTCACTGCTTAACAGATCAAGTCCACAGAAAAGCTCAGCATGAGCTAGACCTCAACATATGGAAAATTCTTCTACATTTTGAAAAGAAAAACCTCTTGACCTGATTAAGACCTTCTCTTTGTGGCTCCGCATATCCGACAGCACTCCTTGATGGAGATTCGCAGAGATTTACCTTCCTTCCCAGGGATTTTAACACCCACCCAGGTACCCGTAACCAAGAATTCTAGCCAAAGAAGAGCCACTCTGAGTCTGAGAATTCAGGCATCAAGTGTGATATAGGTCACTGTTGCTTCTGTTCCCTGGGCCTCAGGAAAGTTGCCCTCATGCCAATGAAGTTTCCCAGCCTCGAGCTGACATTTAGTTGTCTCTGTCCTCATTTGCTTTGAAATCCACTGTCGCACGTTATCTGGACCAGCCACTTTTTATGCCTCAGGGGCTTCTTGTTGTGTAGGCCCCATTGTTGGCCACATATCTTAGCCTAACACAGCTCTCCTTTAAATTGCACTGCGTCAATATTCTGCCTTCTAGATTAGGTCTATGTCTGGGGGAACTTACTAGGTATAGACGGGGTAAAAGGAGATATGTAATCAGGGAAATTAGAGAAGTAAAGACTAATTGGGTCGCCTCCTTAGCTCCTGTCTTTGGAGAATAGTTTCCGTTAGCATGGGACTGTCAGTTTTCTAATCTACTCTTAAATGCCCACCAGCACCACTGTCATTTCTGGAGTTTTTATCCACACACATTACGATGTCCTAACTCTAATGGCACAGCAGAGCATCCTGGGCTGGGAAACAAAGACAAAGGGAGAGAATCTCTGTCATGTTTACATAATGCTGAGAATGTCTCTCAATTTGCCACACAGGTGAAAATCCTCAAATGCCGAGGGTTCCTGCTATGACATATATGAACAGCTTACTAAGGGAGGAGAAGGGAAGTCCAGATTTTTAAAAAATTAATTAATTAATTTAAAAATAAATAAAAATAAAAACAGCCCCTATCTGGGATGATTTGGGTATGGATTTGCCCGTAGCTAAGTGTCCAACTAAATGATTTCTGTAACCTATCCCGTCTCCTTATAATATAGAGTCAGAAACCATAAGTAATAGAGAAAACAATTTGTAGGTTCACTAGTTTATAAGGATTGCCAATATACCTCAGCTCTAAGAGTACCTGTATCTAGACGTGAAGTAACAAAAGCAAAAAAAAAAAAATGAGAGGATGCTAATTAGCTAAAGAAAACTCTTTGCCTTCTCTAAGCACGGAGCTGCCTTTTAAATTAGAACTTGTTCGGGGCGCCTGGGTGGCGCAGTCGGTTAAGCGTCCGACTTCAGCCAGGTTACGATCTCGCGGTCCGTGAGTTCGAGCCCCGCGTCAGGCTCTGGGCTGATGGCTCGGAGCCTGGAGCCTGTTTCCGATTCTGTGTCTCCCTCTCTCTCTGCCCCTCCCCCGTTCATTATCTGTCTCTCTCTGTCCCAAAAATAAATAAACGTTGAAAAAAAAAATAAATTAGAACTTGTTCATTTGTTGCAATTCATGGTTGTATCTGTTCTGTGAGAAAAGACGCTTCCCTGATTTTGCCAGTAATTTGTTTTATTTGGGGTGTCATAAATCCTTTTAATGTTTTGATTACATCTGTAGAGCCTCTCCCAAGGTAAAT